TGGACTGAGAAGTCTGGGTGACTGGTGACTGAAAATCTGGTGGGTTTTCTATGAGTACTGGGATCCAAATATGTCAAGGGTTATTAAGAAGAAGTCTGAGAAATTCTGAGAACCAAGGCAGAAAGCTGACAGGTACCTCTTGCAGTGTCTTGAAGTTAATAGGCACTCAATACATTATTTCAATTAAATGAGTTATACACCTTTAAGTGTCTTAAAGGTTACCCAGAACTACAGAGAGATAAATTTTCAGGGGAAGGGGGAGGTTGAGAAGGGAGCAGAGGCGGTAAACTGGAAATAAAGAGAAGATGAAGTGATAAAGAAAAAGAAATATCAACCCTAGAGACTCAAATGACCTTGAAGTATTAGAAGGGTGTGGGCTCTCTCTAGCTGAGAATGATAAAATCTGAGGAGATGGCCAGACTCCAAAACTGACTGTCTCCTTGAACTCTAGGGTGATCTCCTGGTACTCACTTTTCCTCAAGCTAAGGTGAAAATCATAGCCCTTCTCAACTCCCCACTACTGTTCAAAGCCCACAGTGCTCTAAATCTCCTCCAATGTGTGGGTCAGGAAATGTAGTGAAGTCTTCCAGCTCCAGCTGGCCAAAAATGGACACAGAAACAGGTGCACAAGCCAAAAATTGTGTATTGACCACCCTTCAGTCTTTTCTGCCTCCAAATGATTGGCATGGAGAAGTTCCTCAGAGGGCCTGGGGAGAGGAGATCTGTTTTCTGCCAGTTGTTCTGTACTAATTCCTTACCTGTTTGTTCCTCTTCCCCTAAATACTGTAAACCCTCTAGGGTGGGACACAGCATTTTATGTGTACAAAGTTAGTTAATGCACATATTTAGCACATGTTAACTGAGCTCTGAATATGTTGCACTTACAAAAAAAGTTCTTGCACACTTGGTGTTTGTTTTCCAGTGGTGGAATGAGGTGATGGTAGATTAACAATAAACTGATAAGCAAACAAATAAATAAAACAATTTCAGTGTGTGCTGAAGGTCACACTGAATATATCCCATGTGTATTGGTGAAGAATCACTGAGAGTATAGGGGGGCAGGGGCTACATCTCATCTCTTGGAGAAGGCAATATTTACCTTGAGACCCCCAAGGATGGCAGTTAAGATAAATAACAGAAATAGGCACAGAGGAGATGTCTAGCACAAGGACTCTCAGAATGGAAATAGGATTTGCCCATTCAAAGAATAGACAGTTCTTCAGGCCACTGAGCCTCTTGAGCTTAGTTAGCAAAGGGGAGACAAAGACAGAGTCTAGTCTAGTCATGAAAGTCCTGCTAGGTACTGAGAAAGCATTTGAATTTAGATCTAAGTATAGTAGGGAAGGACCAAATGTCAAATTAGGGTGTAATACTATGTTTTCCTGAAGAGAAACTTTATAACTTTCATCAGATTTTCCAAAAGACTCCTCCCTCAAAGGTTAATAGTACCTGATTTATAGGGAGAAGAAAAGGACCAGGTCTTTCAGAATGATGCTGCTTGGAATCATACATAGTGTATTCTTCCAGAATTCAGAGAAATGCTTAAGAAAGAAGTACAAACAATCATCCGTGAGGAGGGCAAGTGGAACTTAGGACATTATCTGTGAAATATAAGGAAGTAGGCAGCATAAGGTGTCCCCCAGATGTGGTAGAAACATACACAGAAAGGTGAGGAGCAATGGGCAGTGAGGGGAACTCAGTTTCTTGTGTTTTAGAAACCAAGTCCACAAACAACTATACAATGCTTTAGAGGTATTTGAGAATAACAAGGACTTTTTCCCTCTCATTTATACAAATACGTATAAGAATTTTTCTAAATCTAAGTGTGACATAAAGATGTCTGAAATCCCCCTCAAGCTATGCCTCCAAAATCCCCCAAACCATGTTGCAAGTGGCTCTCTCTCAGGAATTTTCTCTTCCCTTCACCAGGTAGTTACAGAAAAAATAAAAGCTAACATGCATTTTGCTGAACTGATTTTTAAATTTCTTCACACCCTTCCTGTCCAAACCACCTAGAAGATGTGTAGAGATGATTTAGAAGGACTTGGACTTGTTGATTAACCTAAACAGTCACATTCATCTGCAAGGTCCATTGCTGCTAATTAAAACTGCAATTCTCCTTGTGCCCAGATAGAGGGCTGCTGATGTCAGAATAATTAGAGAGCATATGATGGTTTTCCTGAAAATCCCTGGCAATTAGAATTGGTGATATATTGTGTTTAAAATCCTAGTGAAGCTCTCAATTAGGATTCCTCTGGGGTTGGCTTCTGAAAGAAGGACATGATAGGACTAGAGGGGGTAAAGGGAAATAGGTGTAGATAAAAGGGTGTAAAGACCAGCTACTCATTTCTTAAATCCTCTGGGAGGGGCCCAAGCCTAGAATAAATGAATTATAGACATCAGTGTGATCTTCAACCTTCCCTGAAGAAGTCTTTCTTCTTAAAGAACCTATGCAGACTGAACTTCCCCAGGGCATGTGTGCTCCCAAGAGCCTGATCCTTACTTCTCATCTTCCTGAGAAGATTTTTTTTTCTTTAGTCAGGAGGTCTAATATCTCATATACAGCAAAAGTCCCTGCCAACCCTGGGATTAAGTTCTTAAGGGTTCTAACAAAACAGGGTCTGTATTCCTGAAGAGTTTCAGAAAAGATGCTAGATTCAGAACAATGTTGAAGTGGTCAGTGACATGCAGTGGGTTAAAAGGACAAGGAAAACAGATCTCTGAGGAAAGCCTTAAAGGAATGACTGAGGTCAGGGTTAGACTTTCTGAAGAACTATCCAAGTGCGACTTAGATAATGACAGAGAAAAGTAGGCCCCTGAAGGGACTGGGGCAAAATTGGCAGAAGTGGAATGGGGAGGAGATAATTGTAAGAAGGTATTTCCAACCAACCTTGACTTCTTTTTGACTGCAGATTTTTGCTTCTGCCTTTCCTGTGTGAGAGATGTGATAGAGGTTGAACTATCTGGGGCTCTCTTTACCTGGGCTGAACAAGGAGGTATTTTTACCTGGAGGCATAGGCTAGGGGTAGATAAGATGACCCTAGTCTTAATTTAAGTTTTGCTTGCTTCAGATTGACGCTGAAAGATTCAGCAAGTCGAAGACACCCTTGCCTTCCTCTTGACTAAATTAATCTCGTCCAAGAATTCAGTACCTTGTGAGTTGAGCAAGTTCTGGTAGGACTAAAGAGTGGTCTCAGGTTGGAGGGGGAATTATGAGAGAAGGCTGAAAAGAGGATGAGAGGAAAAGAAAACATTGGAACTAATTCATGAACTGTAGTTAAAGACTTTAATATAATTTATGTTTGTAAATTATTTTGCTTCTTCATTTTCTTTCCCTTCCTTTCTCTTTCAGGATGTCTCCTTTATCTCAATCAGTCCCTAAGTCCCACATTTCAATTTAGAATGCACCAATAAGTAGCTAACCTTGTAGTAACTAAGAGACAGGAGGTGGGCGACTTTGGAGGGTTTTTCACAGCACTCATCCAGGAAAATTTCCCAGCCTTTTTGCACCACCTGCCTAGGATGCTCTAGCTCATCTCTGTTTCTTTCCTGCACTCTGCTAGTTATCTCCAAGCCCAAAGAGTCAAGCAGAACTGGTGTAGGGCAGGAGCCAGGTACAGCTCATCTTTGAAAAATGGTAAGACCAGATTTGAATTCAGATGTAAGGATATACTCTCATTTCCGCAGTTTTTATTTGAGTAAGAGAAACTCTTTGTGTGTGTGTGTGTGTGTGTGTGTGTGTGTGTGTGTGTGTGTGTAGAAGTAGTACATTGGTGGCAGTAGAAGTTGTTCCCCTTTTCTAGAGGGATTTATTCATTGTTCTTCCCATCCTCACCTCAATGCGGCTGCATAGGGGTTGAGAAAAAGCATCCAGGGTCAAGATTAGCAGCCAAAAAATCAGGGGGATATTTAAGGAAGAGGTGCTAAGAGTATAGGGATACAGTGTGGAAGATGGAAGGAAATATTTGTTTGGAAAAGAAAAGCTTATCCCAAAAGCTGGGGTTTGAGAAGGAAATTTGAGGATTTCTAAACAGAAATGAAGCAGGTCAGACTCCTTCTCCTTAAAGTTTCTCATGCTGCACAACTTCTTGATTTTTAGTTCCCTCTACACAACCGATGCAGAAAAGACTAGGCACAGAAGTGGGGGGGGGGTGTAAAGAAAACTCAAGTGTAGGGAGCGAGTATGTCATAATTTTTGATTCCATATTCTGAGAACAAGGATGAAGAGCAGAGTAAAGTGGAAGGAGTGCTAAGACAGGTCAGAGCACACACACAGGTGTGTGCAATTCACACTCTGATGGTGAGGCAGTCATGTCAACATGTTATTACATTCATGTATCTAACATATATGTAGGTTAACAGTTCAAGACAGACAGATGTACATGTGTGCATGTATGCACACACACAGAGGGATTGAGGTCATCATGAGGAATCAACCTCAGAGAGATGACTCCTAGGCATTGGCTTCTAGATACTTTGATAGGTTCCCTGGATGAAATGAGGTACCAGGATGTTTCTCTCCACATTTCTCACCATCAACCTGATCTCTTAAAAAAGCCAGTAGGTGTGAATGAGACAAAAGGCACAAAGGAAGATAGAACAGTGAAGACAAGGAAGAGATGTCATGCTCTGGGCTCATCTTCACTCCTCTGCTTTGCTTTCTCTGGTTTCTATTTTTCTTTCACTTATTCTCTGTAGCAATTTCTCTTTTTTCCTTACCTTCTAAGCTATCTCTTATAGTTTTTTAGGTTTAGCTGCTCCCTTCACACTCTTGTCTTCTCTCTCTTCCCCCATGGAAGAGATGGCAGCAACCCTACACCTCCGGAGAACACTTGTATGCCCAGAAGATGTTTGTATGTTATTCACTTTCTCCCCAAGCCAGCCAGAGAAATAGATTTTACCAGGACAATGTCAAGAAATGTCTCTCTTTCACCATTTTCCTTCTTTTTCTCTACATCCCCAGATAAAATAAAATAAAATAAAATAAAATAAACACCAGCTTTATAAAAGCAGTGTAGACTTTAATTCAGGTTGGCAGGTAGAAGAGAGCTAAGATTTTCCTTCAAGGGTTTCCAGATGAGAGGACTATCTTTCTGGGAGAGGTAAAGAGGGCATGGAAGTATGAGTGGCCTGGTAGCAGAACAGGGCCAGGAGAAAGGGCGTAGCTACACAGTGCAGTATTGCCAGGACCTCTGCCAGGTCCAGCAGCAAGTCCAGAGCCTGCTGGGCTGGACATGATGCCAATACCAAAATCTTGGATCTCACTAGTGAGTCCAATCCCCGAAGCATTCCATGAGGCCACCAGAAAATGAACCAGACCCATAAGACATTAACCCAGGGACATGGCCCCCTGTCCAATATCTTTTTCAGGCCCTTGGCTCCCAATAAACCCAGTGGCAACAGGATAAAGATGGCAAAACAAACAGCAGCATGCATAAACTGCAAAATGTCCTGGCTGAATATCTGGATGCAGAGTCCATTGGAAGTGTCACTGGTCAGGGTGACTGGCAGCCCCAGTAGGATAGCCACTCCCCAAAGTCCCACAGTGAGCCCCAGGGTGAGGCCTGGAAACTGGTTTGTACTCAGTATGGGACCCAGGCAGGCATGACAGCCTATCAGCAAAGCTTGGGCAAAGGCTGAACCATACCAGACCAAGTGGGCCAGGCGGCACAGGTGGATGTTGTGGGCACCTCTTAGCATGGGTGCCAGGATGGGCACTGAGATGCTGAAGAGGGCACTGCCCACAGCTAGCTGTACAAGGATCTTCCAGCCAGGACAGGGCTGCCAGTAAAATAGAGGCTTGAGAAAAGCAAAGAGGACAGCTGTACTAGCAAGGATGCCCAGGATACTGGCGAGGATGTAGAAAGGCAGTGAGGACTCATCCAGCAGTTTACAGGAATGGCAGGGGGCAGCTGCTTCCAGTCCAGCGTAGTTATAGTCACCAGGTCCGTAGGAATTATTCCAACCAATCCAAAACTCATCTTCAAAGGTAATGTTACTCGAGTTCCCACCAGTGAAGGAGGAGTCCACCTGGAGGATATCCCCAGAGGGGACAATCAGAGCATCTAGTTACTCCACTGAAGAGTCTCTGGGGAACTAAAGGGAAAGGGAAAGGGAGAAGGACAAAGGGGAATGTAGGGCTGGAGAACAAGGAGTCTGGAGGAGTTGGGTGCAGTGGGGATGATGGAAAAAGACCACACAGTTGAGATTCAGGAGCCTGTGGAGAAGCAGGGTCATGGAAGAGCAAGGGAAAGACAGTGGGCAGGGGGAAGGTCCGAGGGAGGGTAACCAGGGGCCTGGATGTAACTGACTGAAAGGCAAATGAGGAGAAAAATAATGGGGACCTAGGAGGCTGTGGTAAGGAGAGACGGAAAAAAAGGAAGGGATGAAATAAGGATGAAAGCGGTATAAAGACAAAGGGGTAGTAGTAGTTAGAGGTGGGGGTTGTGGGTCCCGCCCCACACTCACCCGTTGCAGACAGTTCCCCATGACACTGCTGGACTCAGGGCAGGCAGAGAGAAGGGCTGGGATAGTTTTGTCACCTGCTGTGGTTCCAAGATAAGTGCTTGGGACTAATGAAGGCCATGAGTTCTGGGCAGGGCCATGGGGTGGCACAGGGAGGGGCACTTTCAGGAAACCTTTACCCCACACCCATTGCCTGCCTAAGCATCAGGCCCACATAGGACATCGGGCCAAGGCTTCTTGTTTTGAGGTTAGATTTCACTGGCGGAGACCTACACTTGGGAAAGGAAAAAGGTGGGGACAAGCAAATGGGTATTTTCCCAAAAGTGGAAAGGGATGCTGGAAGCCAAGGGGCTTTCCAGCAAGGATTTTAAGCACAAGGAAGGAAGAAGGGGCCAGGAGTCAAGTGTGAGACAGAGATAAGGGGCATGCTGGGAAGTTGGAGGGGAAGGCAGCTGATGACTCTCACTGCTCCTCTATCCCCTTGAACTTGAGCCAATGAAAGATAGGTCAAAAGTCAAGTGTTTGTGAGAGGGAGTATTAGTGGTGCTATGGTTGGATCGATGAGATGCTGACAAACTGAGGAATATGTGGGTGGGCATTCTTTGTATATTAGTCTGGGTGTAAGAAGGTGCTTATTTATCTGTGTGTGGTTGTGTACTGTATGAACACATCTAAGGCAGGTATCTGGCTATGAGTCTGGGTGTTTCAGTGTGAGAGGGAGGGAGGGCTGCATAATGAAGCTACTTCAGGGGAGCAACTGGGCATTCGCCTCATCATCTATGGGTGCAGTGAAGATATCTTTTATAGCAAGCAAAACACATGGTCTGACAAGCTAGAGCAGGCTCTGGGGGCAATGGGACAACATATTCTCAAATGGGCCTGTTGACTCTGGGGTAATTTCTATTTGTATTTCTGTGGGGAGTACAAAGGCTGTGGAACTGCTGCATTGGCCTGGTATCTCAGCACTGTGTAAGTTTCTTTTGTGAATAGAGCTTCTGCTTCTCCCCAACTGGCTGACAGAAAGGGTATCTACCCTGTAGGTAGATCCCCCTAAGCCAATAAAACAGCTCTTGGGTAGCCCCTTTCTCCCCAGTTCCTTTCCCATGACCTCTGTTGATTCATCCCCCCTTCACCCCCAAATTTTTTTTCCTCAGTTATGGAGACTTTGTCTGGATATTTGGAAGCAGTGTGTCATGGAGTGTCCCAAGTCAGAAAGGCAAGATACAGAGGCCTGCTTAGGCAACACTGTTTCATTTATCTAAAAAAGCATGTGATGCTTTAACTCCAATTCTGCCAAGCAGATCCTTCCCATTCACATAGTAGTGCCTAGAGGTCAAATAGAAAAGCCATGTTGCCAAAGAATGGGAATCCTACAAAGACCATCCCCTTTTCTCCCAGGGTGCTAGCTCCAGTTTCAGGTTCAACATGACGGGGGTTGGAAAATGATTTGCAGGGGGGTCTGTTGAAACTGTCTTGTAATGATGGTAGAGGCATCTTCACTTTCATCTCCCCCTTCTCCAGTCCTGCCTGACCGAAGGCAGTGGGAGCAGTCAGATGCCCCATCCCAAATACCCTCTGGAAAGGAAGGACCCAGCCAAAGGGAGTGAACACACTTCTCTCCCTTGGAGAGTTATATTGTATCCATTCAGAGATGCCCTTGGGAGTGGCCTGGTGAGGCACACACCACCCCCAAAAGTACCAGGTGCAGGGGATTCCAGCAAAGCAGCCCTTAAAACGTATCCTCACAGGAGCAAGAGCAGCAAGAAGGAGGCAGCCGAGCGACACGGTGATCCAGATATATTGAGGGTGCCCCTCTGAGATTAGCATAGGAGAGTTAGAAAGGTTATAAAGATACACGATCCCCTCCCTGCTCCCATCCCCACCCCCCACCCACAGACAGACACACACAGCACAAGGGCCCCTCTCCCCCCGCCCCCAGTACAAATATGGCTTCTGTGTAATATGGACAGAGTGATTCAGCTCAAAGACATAAAGTCACTTTCCCTAAAGTGGGTGCAAGGAGACAGAGAAACCAACAGGCCTGGGGCCCTAGGCTGCCTTGCTGCTTTAAGAGGAGGGAGCCCTGGTTTAGAGGGGTGCTGCCTGTAGTGCCCAGGGCCCTAACCAGATGCTGGAAGATCCACAACAGTATTACCTGAACTGAAGGGGTGAACAGAGCTACAGAGTGCAGCTGCCCCCATTTTGCACTTCCCTGGGTTGTCATAGGAGGGAAAACATGTTGGAGGAGGGTGACAGTGGTGCCAAGGGGCATCCTGGTTCTGAGGCAGGGTTGCTCGCTGCACATGGAATGAGTGTGAGCAACTCATCTCCATGGCAACCAGCTCAGGCCACAAAGGAAGTCAGAAAATCAAAAGGACTGGTGGAGATGGGAGGGAGAGAGCAAGTTTCATTCCAGCCCTCAACTCACTGGGTACAGACAATAGGGAAAAAGTGACAGCAGTTGGTCAAGGGTCAGGGCCAGGGAGAAGCATGAGGGGTGCACAGTAAAGGCTGTGGCACTGACTTCATAGCTCCAAGAAGGGAGATTGAGGCAGAAGTTTGATGCTCTGTATTTTAGGGTGAGATTAGATGGACAACTGGGCACAAACACATCCTAGGACTGTTTTCTCCATGACAGATGGGCACTGGGGGTGGCAAGGATACAGCAACCTCCCAGGGTAGGTACCAAGCGGGCTAAGAATCCTCAGCTCCCAAGGCCTTCCTTTACATGTTCCACAGCCCACTCACCTGCCTACGACCTGCCTCACTGCCGCTCACACACACAGATGTGCATGCACACACACACACTTGCAGAGTTCACATTACTTTCTTCATTTGGGCAGGAAAGAGCTTGGTACAGTGAAGCTCAATTTAGTATTTTTGTGGTTATCCCTGCCTGGCTGCTGGGGAAGGGAGGGAGGACTAAGGGGTGGCTTAGGAACTGGGAGGGGTGAGAGGAAGATTGGTGAATAATGCCATAAATGGAGTTGTTACCAAGCGACAACAGTCCAAGGGTTGGGTGAGAGTGAGGGACCCCTGGGCAGAGAAGCAGATGCAGTTGGGCATGGAGCAGCACCTCTCCCACAGCTGCTAGAGCAAGGAGGGGTAGTCTTGCCCTGCTATTCCCCAAGGACAGTCCTGTGTAAGAGTCTTGCTTTATATATCATAGAGGTAAGGGGTAGATGGGGCCATCTCTGCCATTCTTTCTCTCCAAATCTACCCATTCTGGCAGGGAACCACATCCTCCCCACATGGAAGCCCTGTGTCTCTGTGTGGCTGCACGCCATCTGCAGGTCAAATCTCCTCAAGTATCCCCATTTATCCCTTTCCCACTGAAGGGGAACAGGAGTATCAGAGAGGCACCTATGTATCTGTCCACAGCTCCAGGTATGTGACTATCAGCAGAGGAAAGGTCAGTTCCTGATCACAACCTCCCTGTTCCCAAAAAAGTCCAGGAAGCCACTCTGTTGCAGAGGATGGTGGGCTGGTGAGAGCCTCCACCAAACCAGCCCTATTCCATTCCTGTCCTTACCCCTCACCCTCATTCTCCTCTTAAAGCTTCAGAATTTTTGCCTTCTTCACCCCAGGATCCCTGCGCCTCCAGCCTGAAGACAAATTTGATTTGGGATTGTTACAAAAATAATAATAACCCAAACTCAAAGAAGCCACAGAAAGGGCTGAGGGCAACCCTCCTTCCCCTCCCCGCCCTCCCCATTCCAAACCGAGTACAAAACTGCACCCAAAGCAGACATTCTGTACAAGGGGTTGGGGGAGAACTGGGGAGCAAGCGGGAGGTGTGGCCCTGGGGTTGCTCTGTACAAGTCCAAGTTGCTTATGGCCCGAGAAGTTCCCATGGGGCCCCTGGAGGGGTACAGGAAGTTGGTGGACACCCTAGATGAAATATTCCTTCTTGTCGTCCCCGCCTGACTGCCCGCCTTCTGCGTTGATGATGGCTGTGTCCGCATCTGGGGCATCGTCAGAGCCTTTAGCCTCATGTGTCAGGTAGGTTCCTGGGGAAGAATAGAGGCTCCTCTTCTCAGGAGCAGTTTCCAAACATCTGAATCTCCCCTTGCCCACTTCCCCACCCACACATTCATAGCTTCATCCTGCATTTTTCTCCTGTTTAGAGCTTTCTTCCTCCTCACATGACCTGATTGCATTTTGCTGCCAATATTCCTCACCTGACCACACCCATATGAATTAATGAATTCTGCCTTTAATTAGAGAACCTCATCAATGATACAGGCAAAAAGTAATGGTGTGTATGTATATGTGTGTTTGTGTCTGTATGTGCATCTGTGTGCCTCTGTGCATTGGTATGTGTATGTGCACGTGTATATGTGTGTGCATGTGTGTATATATGCATGTGCATGTAGGTGTGCGAGTGTATTTCTGTGTGCATGCATGTATGCATGTGCATGTATGAATGTATATGTGTGCATGTAAGGTGGTACAAGGGGAAACTGCCATGTCAGCTCCATATGAAATGTAGCTATGAGCTGGCTAGCACTTGATAAGTCAGTGTAGTTTGACTGCAGCTGGAAGTTATAGCAGAAGGGGGGCATCTGAGAGAAAGGCTTGTAAAAAGAAGGTAGAGAGATATTGTGCATATAGAAGAGAAGAGAAAGGAAAGGAGATATTGTGGAGACCAAGGGAAAGGAGATCAAAGGCCAAGGAAAATGAAGTAAAACAGAAGGGAAGGAAGTGTATAAAGAAATGGGAAGAAGATGCAGAGTTTCTCAGTTCTCTGCTTATGGCAGAATATCCTTGTGGCAGAGCTGCATGGAAACAGCAGCTTACTGAGTGAGAAGGTCTTAATTTTACTGAATGGTGAACAAGTGGTGACCCTCTTAGGAGGGACCATGGTGCTCCATTATTAGAGAATTGCCTGCATTCTTCTTTCTCAAACACTCAGAGCAGCTGACTGGGTCTCCAAAGGCCATTCTGGCAGCCCGCTCCTACCTATCTGCCTCTAACCCATTTCCCTACCCATACCCAAGTTCTCCTTATACTTCCTTCATGCATCTGACCTTTGTGCCGAATCAGGTAGTGGCCGAGGAAGATGAGCAGGATGAGCAGCAGAAAGACAATGAAAGCCACAATCCCACCAATGATGGCGTGGTATGTGCTGGAAGACGAGGGCACTGGACTGGGGTCTAGAGGGCAATGCATACAGTCAGATCTGGGAAAAAAAACCCTAATATTACAGCATTTCTAACCTGGTCACAGATAATCTTACACAGCAGAGAAAACAGACTAACATTAGGAGAATGGAGTAGCATCATTAAACAAAGGGGGAATGTCTTATTTTGTACTCAATTTTCTTACACAGTGTGTGGAACATAATAATGTTTATAAAAATTAATGTATTTGTGAATAAATAGATAGATGGCCTCCCATTTAACCCTTTTAGTTGAAGTCATGGCACTGAAGTTTGACCTTAACCAAATGAAAGATCATTGCTTTAATGTTAGATCATCTTTTGAAATTTCTCTCTTGCTCTCTTTTTCTTCCTGTCAGTTCTTTTCTCTATTTATATACTTTTTATTCTAATTTCTAGGTTATCAGAGCACTCCTTCCTTATCCTCCAAGCCCTCTTACTCTTCTGTTCACTTGATACTCTGAGATGGATTCTTTACAAGGGCTTCTGAACCAATTAACCCATTACCCTGAGATCAGATAGAGAAGGAACAGTGAAAAAACTGATGAATTCAAGAATTAGGCACTATGATGACACCTCACAAGCTATGGTAGACTGTGACCTTTTGTATAAAGAAGAGTGTTTCTTCTTGGTAGAGGAGTTTAGAGTTCCAGCAAAATCCTAGTCCTCTGGTAAGTCTCATCAGGAGGATCTGGAACTGCATTTTCACTTCCTACCATCCAAACATTTGTGGGAAGTTGAATATTTCCGTCACAGAAGTCCCACCTTGCTGCCTCCAATGATGGCCAATGTCTCTGCCAGCTCAGATGGGATAGGCACATTAAGAACACTACCAGCCACATGGCAGTGTCTCAAATACCTGAGAAGACACTGCACAGGTCCAGGATACAGTGCTGATGTATCCAACATTATACTCACCATAGATATGAGTCTCCCACCCATGGGAGAACTGTTTTTCTATAGACTCAGCTTGACTCTTGATGCTTCATTAACTCCTTATTATATATTTTGTCTTTCCTACTTTGCCTCCTCAAGCTTGATTAGGCCAGCTTTTCAGTTCCCTGCTTGTCTACGACTTATTCAGAAAGAAAATATTTATGTTCTGTTTATGTTCTTCTTGGGAGAGATGTAGAGGATGGGCCAAGGGGATACATGATTTGATGGGGGATGTAATAGCATAAGTTGGAAGAAGGGGAATGAAGGTACCCGCTCTCTTTCTCCTAGGGAGAAAGTCATGAGAACAGCACACATTAAAAATAATCCTGGATAATTATTCTAGAGACTAAGTAAATGGAAATTCCCTAGAAAAACAGAGGTTTCAATGGCCAACATGACCTCTAGAGTCATCCATGTTAGGCCCCTGTCTCTAGGTGGAACACTATTTAATTTCACTCCAGGTGGGTGGGAGTCAATACTGGTAGGATATTCTGGCAAGATGCACTAACTCATTATACCACCAGGTGTCAGCACTGGAAGCAGTCCAGATTAAGAGGACTGGCTTTCCAACACAAAGCTGGATCAGAAAGAGGCCAACTACAGAGCAGCAAAAATTTCTCTCACTGCCAATCATCATCGCAGTTTGTCTGGAGAGATCTGGGGGCAGATACCATACCTGTAGGCACTGTCCTTGCTTCAGGCATCTAGTTCTGTTTGTGGTGCTGAGACAGTCCCCATATGCTGAGGTCTGCCCTGGAATCAATCACCCGTCCAGACACCCTCAGGTCTCTTGTCCCTGGGGGGCCTGTCGGTGGGAGAACTAGTGTTTTTCCACAGACTCAACTTGAGTCTAGATGCCTCATTGACTCCTTATTATTTATTTTGTCTTTCCTACTTTGTCTCTTCAGGCTTGATTAGGCCAGTTTTAATAGGAGTTTCACTCAAGGGAGCCTCTGATGTCCCCCGACAACACATTTCCCTATTCTAAGGAAAAGCTTTTAAGACTTTTTGATGTGACGCCACTGTCACTAGGATTTTCAAAAAAAAAAAATCTCCTGCTCACTTTCCATAAAGGGACTTCTGTTTCAGCCTGTCTTCTCCTGAAATGGGATTTTGTGGTTGCACCTTTGGGAAGAACTTCAGAGAAGAAGCATCATCTATTTCCTCTAGAAGATATGGCATCTGAGAAAATATCTGACCATTCTCAGCAAAGTACAAACTTATCTCCATCTTCTGCCTGGACCCAGGTCTGCAGGAAGGGAGATGAGAGCAGCAGTATGCATCCGATACTAGTCACAAGAGAAGAAACTCTGAAAACAGCCTGTTGCAAAGGGAAATGCATCCACACCCATACTCGACAGGCTCTGGGGCCTCTACACACAGAATTGTCATTTTTGCTGCCCAGTGAGTTCAGGGGTTGGAGGATGGTGTCACTTGAGTCATTACTGCTAAACAAAGGCCGATGGGAGCCCTCCATTCTAGTGATCTTTCCTTATTGCACATTCCAGAGTAGATCTGGAGCTGAGTCTTCAGGCCCTCAGTGGGGAGCTGCTGTCCTTTTAGTCTGCTCCAAATCACCGTCTGGGGGTGCTCTCAAGTGACAGAAAGATGAGAGTGTAAGATGGACAGAGAAGGGGAGAAGAGAGGTGCTGGAGGAAAACTGAGGTGGGCTCACCGTTCACATTGAGAGTATAGTAAGCCTTGTAGCTGCCCATGTTGCTGGTGGCCGTGCAGCCGTAAGTGCCGCTGTCACTCTTGTTGAGGAAGGGGAAGATCAGGGCGCTCTCCTGGGTTATTTTCAGGGGTGGTACACTGCCCTCCTTCTCCCATAGGTACTGCTGGGGGCTGTTGATTGTTCAGAAGAGAATAGGTCAGGGCAAGAGGGAGACAAATATAACTGGGAGCAGGGAAGTCAAAGACTGTTTGATGAAAGCTCAAGAAGTTATATAAGCCAGAAACACTGAGCTGCTCGGAGAGAGGGGGAAGTTGACATCTTGGGGTTAAATTTGGGGAAAAGGGGAATTTTCTAACTGTATCTTGTAACTTAGTTCCTTATGGGAACCAAGAACTGAGCTCTCCCCACTACTGTTGCTTTTCAGGAGAAACAGAGGATGAATGTTGTTAGTGTGAGGGAAAATGAGAGGCTCAGAGAGTACACAGGAGATAGGAAGACATTATGTGAAGATTACAATCTGAGAGTATGGACTTGTATTAGATGCCAGGAAAAAAATCTTCTTACACGGGATTGCCACGACCCTCACAGTGTAGCAACAGCTTCTGGCCCTCGCGGGGATGTAGAGGATCTGGTCTAATCTTCGCCGTTGGTGTGTCTGTGGAGAAGGAAATGGTGTCAATGCAAAACTCCCACACTGTTCAGATCATCTTGGTCTCAAAATCATTCTGTTACACAGTACAGCTTCCATCCCTAAATGCCTCAGGAGTCCGAGAGGCTGTGAATAGAAACTTTTCTCCCCCTATTTTTTGTCAGCAAATGTGTGGAGGACTGGTACTTCCACCTCATAGAATAGGGTTCTGAACAATCTATCCTTGGCAAAGACCCAACAGATGTCTAAAAGAGAGCTGAGAAGAAGTATCACTAGTTCATCTGTGCCTAGCACACTACCTAGTACATAAATGGAACTTAATACACATTTGTGACAGCACAAATATACTTGAACTTGATCATTTATTGAGCTCATAACCTCTCAATCCTCTCTGTTCTGTAAGGGAGCTTAAACTGGCAGCAATGCTTGAACGGAAAAAAAAACAAAACAACAGCATTTTTAGTGGTCAGTCCAAAAATGAAGTGAGAGCTTTGAAACAGCAAGAGATTGGGATCATCTTTTAGCTGCAAAAAGGGACTGACACAGTATGGATGAGCTCTGCAAAGGAATAATGGCATCTGCTACTGACACCAAAGGGCTGCTGAGGAGGCTAGGTCCAGATGGATGCATAGAACAATACAATTAGATGCTGGTTTAGAACAACAGATAAAGACACTGAGCTTCCCCTAAGGATAGAACTAACCTTAACAACCAGTTAATGAACATGTTTCAGTCAAATAAAATAGGACAAAGAGAGTCAGGCCAGGTGAGAGAATGGGTGTCCAGGAGCCTCGCAGCCATAGAAACCTCTAGTACAGTGCCTTGAGTATAGCATTTGTTGACTGACTGGTGGTCACAATTGGGCCAAAAAGCTCCCTGAAGAGTAATTGCCAGATGGTCTAGTACCTAACAGAAGTCTTTGGGGCTCAGACTGGGGAGGACCTTTCTTATCCCTGGCCAAAGCCCAGACTTGGGGGAAGAAGCCCAAGGGCAGGGGCTTCACCCTCAGAATTAATAATCAGAGAAAAAATTATTTCAGCAATAATTTCAGCAATTGATTTAAATAGCCCTGAAGTCAGTCCTATATATTCTACAAGAAAAGACTAAGGGTTTTAGTTATTTTAGAAAAATAACAAAACTTTAGATGAGTTAGAACAAAAAATACATTATTTTACAACTTTAATCTTTAACCTGTGTACTTTATTTTCTTTCCCCCTTGGTTCCTCCACTCAGAAAAGTTCTTTTTGAAAATTTCCAAATTTTCTCAGGTGAGGAGAGAAGTTCCCTGTTCATACTCAAGGCATATTCCATGGAGGGATGAGAATATTTGGAAAGGCTAGGAGTAGTGAGCATAACAATAGCCATTTGGGGTCAAGAAAAATCAAGAGCTGTGGTAGACAGTAGAGAACTATAGGAAAAGGTCTGGGAATAATGATTGCCAGAGAAATTGTGTTTCTTATAACCTGTATTTTTTTGAAACCATCATAAGCTAGATCAAGAGGAAGCCTTAGTGATCTCCATGTTCATGTTCTCATTTAGCAAATAAAGAACCCAAACTCAGGGAGGATAAAGTAATTTTCTTAGAATTACATGGCCAGTAAGTGGTGGAGGGCAGACTAGAACTTGTGTCTTCTGACTCCTGATTTGCTATAGTTACAACTTATAAGCTAGTTGCATCATAAGACAGGGGTTGGTAAATGTACCCATTAGATCAAATCCTGCCAGCTACATGGTCCAGTAAATAAAATATTTTTAAAACACAGCTACGTTTTTTAAAAGATTTTATTTATTTATTTTTAGAGAGAGGGAAAGGGGAAGAGAAAGGGAGAAATCATTGTGTAGTTGTCTCTTGTGCGCCACCTACTGGGGACCTGGCTCGCAACCCAGGCATGTGGAATCAAACCAGTGACCCTTTGGTTCACAGGTTAGCACTCAATCCACTGAGTCACACCAGCCAGGGTGATAAACACAGTTACTTATTTTGTTTACATATTACCTATAGCCAATTTCCTGCAAAAACAGCAGAAGTAAGTAGTTGAGACAGAGACCATACAATGCCCAAAGCCTAAAATGTTTGCTATTGGGGCCTTTACAGAAAAGTTTGCTGACCCTTCATCTAGTCCTATTACCTCTTGTCTCATTTTGTTTTTACCAATCCACTTTGTGCCTGTTCCACACCCCATCTCATACCTGATCTGTCTTTACCCACAAGCCCATGACATACATAAAACTTCAATGCGTTGAGAGGTGGATCTGTCAGCTCCATTTAGAGATTCATGGTTCACAGAGCATATGATGTCTGCCCCATCGTCCTCCCGGGTAACCTGGAATGTCACTGAGCTGCTCACAGTGAAGGTTTTACCATTGGGATCTTCCTGTATTCGGGTTGGTTCTCCTAGAGGGCAGAAACAGACACATACACAAACACATACACAGAGAGTATGCCCTAACAGACAGATATTGTGTGGGCCCCACTGTAATCATAAAGAAGGTGAGTTTCAACGTAGACAAACTTAGAAAATTATGAAATGGATATGTACACACATACACACATGAGTGTGCATAGAATGTCATTCTGCTTTTTCCTTCTACATCATGCCTTGTGTGCACATATGCATGTACCCCTCTTCCCCCCCTCAGTACCACCTTCTCCTATAACCCCAAGGCAGGAGAAACTTACCATGAAGTTCTTGCTCACCCTTTCGCCAGGTGAGATGAGCTGCAGGTTTGCTCCCAGAAGACTGACAGTTTAGAGTGGCTGTCTCCTTTTCCCGTAATGATGACTTGTAGCCAGTGATTATGGGCTTCTGTGGGATTCCTACCATGCATAGGGGATGGCCAGGATATGAAGAAGTGGCCATGAGGTTACACTCAGCTCTCCCTACAGAGATGGCCTCTTGGGGGGGCTGGCTACCTGGGTCCTACTTTAGTTTATGATGGGGAGAAGACTAGATTTTTTTTCTCTTTGATCTCCTCCCTGAAGACCAGAAAGAAAGATCTGGGAGGAGGAGGCATGTGACTGGGGAGATATACCACATCTGAACACAACTGAGTGGCCACAGAAATAGTGTGAAGCTCAGGGGAGCAAAGAAGGAAATTGAAATATAAAACAAAACATAGAATGAGAGTGTGTAAGAAACTGGGGTACTTAACTTGGATATTATAATCATACATTGTATACACCTCCCAAGTTTTACTCACATAACCTTGGGAGATAGGTAGAACAGACATTATCATCTTGTTACATGTTAGGAAATTCAGGCTCAGAAAGAGTAAGATATTTCTCCCAAAGCAAATGGTAAGCAGAGGAGAAATTATTAGAAGTCAGTGCTCTTTGCATTTTGTTCCATTGCAAAGGAAATAGAGGCTGAACTTTTTCAAAAGGCTTGGAGTGTTGCCTGCCTCTGGGCTCTTTCAGGGACACACCTAGGGAGGTTTGTTTGTACAGAAGCCTGCTGCAGTGACTCTGGGGTTTGGGAGCCTCACCTAGCACAGTGATGAGGGACTTGGCAGTTCTCACTGGCATAGTGAAGATGGAGCAGGTGTACTCGCCCTCATCCGCCAGGGCCACGTTGCTGATGCTGATGCTGAGCTCATGGGGTGTGGATTTAACCAGCTGAATCCGATTATCTCGAAGGGCTGGGGGGAATTGGAAGAATGTGAAGCAAGGCTTTTACTGGCACCCTTCATGTTTACCTTTATTCCCAGGTCAGCTTTTTTGGGGGGAGGAGGTCTAGTGTGATTAAGGTCAGGGGTAGAAACTGTTCCTGAGTTTTGATAGTCACTAGGTCATTCAATTCCTTTCCTGGGCCACTGGGAACAGTAGCCTCAGAGATACCCAGAAAAGTAGGTTAGATCTCAAGGGCTTCCTTGTGAGACATAGGTCAACACTTAGATCAGCTGTCTTTTATTCATCCTTTGGGATAAAGTCACCCCAGGACCCTATAAGACCATGCATGGCCTAAGTCAGAGCTGTAATAATAAAGCTTCTCTGACTCAAATTGAGGAACCAGTGTAATGTTGCTTCCTCAAATAGCCATACCTTCACGTGTCTCAGCCTCTGCACTATAGCAATACTTCCTCTCAGTGCTGCAATCCCCTTCCCCAGCCCATGGTTCCCACAGAGAGAGATAACACTACCTCTCTTTTCCCCAAAGTAAAGAGTCTGCTGAGCAGGGTTAGACCACTGCAGGGATGAGTCCTCATGGTCTTTCACTTGGCACTTGAGCACCACGGTGCCACCAGCCACCACTGTCTCATCAGATGTCCAGGGCTGACTGTCTGCAGGAGTAAAATAGGGTTACTTATTTTACTCCTAGACCATCCACCCATTTCTAGACCAAGCCCTAGCCCCTCCCCCCACTTCTAGGCCAAAGTCCATCTCATCTAATTCAGACCATTCAAGATCCAGGTCCTGTATCTCAAGGCATCATGGTGGGAGGACAAGGAGTAAGGAACAGACCTGGTGGTAGGGGACACTTATATCCTCTTGTTTTGAATACACAAAAGAGCAGTCACTTGTTGAATGTTTGCTTCATAAACTGACATGGCCACAAACACTTAGAGGTGTAAAGGCCCTCCAAATTTACACTTACTACTTCACATGTATCTTTTCTGATAGAGTTCTACCATTCACCTTTGAAAACACAGATATACATCTGCCATTCTATGTTTCACCTCCATGTCACCACCTACCTATATGAGCAAGAACAAAAGCAGTTGTGACTCATAGTCCCAAAACTAAAAGTGAGCAAAAGGCCATGCCAGCCCTTGGATTACACATTAATTTACACTAGAAGTAGCTGATAAAACTTCAAAACAAACAATGATTTTTAATTGACACAGATTTTTTAATTCCTCCAACAATAACTTCCTTTCACTCTTTAGCTCCCTTAGTATATTTCTTTGGTATTAATACTACCCACCTCCCCACACACAAACCAAATGACCATCCTAGTGTTAAAGAGCAAAGGATTAAGGTTTTCCTTTCCAAGTGGTGGAAATGTTTCCTAGTCACTCTCTCCTTAGACAAGCTAAAGACAAGCTAAACAAACAAACAAACAATAAAGGACTAATAAGGTATCATATAAATGAGCCATTTGAATTCCTAATGAGCCTTTTAGTCAGGTGTAACTGTGAGCCCCTTGCATCCTCCTCTCAGTATCATTGCTCTGTTTTCCCCACAGCATTGATTCTGATTCCCAATATTGATTTCCTTATCTTCAGGACTGACTTTCTATTACCCAATAGCACTGACCTTTACAGAACTAAAATAAACAGTGCCTTCCAGCTTTGCTTCTGAAATATCCACAGTATTTGTTCTATGGAGCCAAATTACTTAACCAGCATTATTCTCCTCTGAATAGGAAGCCAAGAAATATATTTTCTACATTCCTGAACTTAGTAACTTAGACAATCCCTATGTTAACTATGGCACTGACCTTACCTCTTCCCTGTCTGCTTATTTTTTTCTTTCATGGTCACCACAAATCCATCTCCAACAAACAATAAGCACTCCTGGCAGAGAAGGTGCACCAAGGTGTGAACGTGGCATGTGCTAAAGTTGATATCAATATTTCAGGATAGCTGTCTCCAAATTAAAGCGCAAAACTTGGCCACTAGGTTTAGTGTTTAGAATTATAAAAATTAGAACTAAAAGGGATCTTAGGGATAATGGAATCCAATTTCCTCTTTTAAAAAATGTAGACAATGAAGCAATGGAGGTGAAGTGATTGCCTAAGATCATTCTACTTATCAGTGATTCTAGTTAGGACTAGAACTTCACTCTTCTGATTCTCAATGCAGTACTTATTTCATTGGAATGCCCCTCAAGTAATCATCTAAAGAGAATTAAAACTGATTTTGAGATTAATGAGCCAGGGATTGAGCTGGCTGAGTAAATTTGAAGTGAGATATTTCTTAAATATCTCAATGAAAGGTTTGGAAAGCCTTTCATTTACTGCTAGCTATATACCAATTTTTCAGGAGTAATTCCATTGTCCTTGGTTCTTTATGAAGATTTCTACCTTGACTATGTCTTCCAGAACCTCTTTATTCTTAGCAATACACTCCTCCTGGAATCATTTTACCTTTAGACAAAGGAGTAGAGGATACAGAGGTCTCTATATTGTAAGGGAAGAAGGATTAGATACTAGAAATGTTGGTGCAGAACTAAGAACTACAATGTCAGGTGAAAAGGAGAAAGAGCTGTGTGGTAATGAGAGGAGTAGAATACAGTGTAAAGGCCACATGAGTGGGAGATGATGTGAGGATGGTTGAGGGCACTGAGAGATACCGAGATGAGGGTGCCTGGGTTCTCACCTTGACTGACCAGCATGTCAGGACTGCTCCAGCCTGTGGAGCTGATGGCCTCGTCGAGTGGAGCCAGAGTTCCCAGCTCCAAATCCTGCTCCTGCCAGTAGCCTGGGGAGAGAATCTCCATCAAGGATGAGCCCTACATCCTTGCTGCTACAGTTTGGTATCTATACTTTCATTGTTGGAGGTGGGGAAAGGTAGGCCCAAGAGAACGTGGTTTTCTTATAAAAAGTAGAGACTAACTAAAGTACTGAAAGAGGAAGTTAACTCTTCCTCCCAGGACTGAATTAAAAGAGGATACTAAGTTTTATCAGTCAATCGTATCATGTTGGAGTCAAAAGAAATACTAGGTATCATCTAGCCCAGTTCTCCCACTTCACAGGTGAGGATAATGAAGCATATAGAGATTAAACACGGCATGGTGGAGGTTACTACAGAGAAAATGAAAGATAACCAAAGACTTTCATTCCTTTTCTAGGATTCTCTCTGCTAAACTCTATAATCTACTAAAATAACTATAGGTTTAATAATTATAAAATACTTTCATATTAAATGTGTTTTAAAAACCTGTAAAACTAGCACTCCTGTATTATCATCATTACTACTTTGCAGAGTGGAAACAGAATGAAGTGACTTGCCTAAGGTCAAGTAAATAGAAGAGCAAAGACTAGAAATTAAATGTCTGATCCAAATCCAAAGCTCTATTTGTTTCAGGTAAGACTCTACCATGGTAAAAAGACAGATGATACAGTGAGGGCAGAAGTTACCCTCACCTTTCCCAGGTTGTTACCTTCTATTGGGTGCCCAAATTCTCAAGTTTTCCTTCACCCTCAGTCCAACTGCCCACGTTATATCACTGACTCTGCTCACTCCTCTGGCAGAACAAATCTCTCTCTTCCTAGCAGGTAGCCCATAAACAGTTTTGTGATTTTATAGTGTCAAGAGCCTATTTCCCCAATTCAACTTGAAAGGGTGAGGGGATAAAGAGATAGTCCAATGGAACCTTTTCAGGGTCTCCCTCCATAAGCACAAAAATAGCCAATCACAGTGCACAAAATTCAGTGAGGTCATAGGCTGCTGAGCTGAGTTCTGAGCTGGTACCCATCCAGACCTGAGTTCTGGCATAACTTCAGTTGTGGCAGTGTGCTTGCTTGGGCAAGGGGGTGGGGGTGGAGGAAGAAAGGACAAGAAGGGGGCAGGGCTGGGATCTAGGAATGTGGGGGGAAAGGGCTGAGTGACAGTGGTGCTAGATTAAAAAGCTAAGTGGCATATGGGCTTAAGATCCATGGAAAAGAAAAGGAAGAGGAAGAGAACTGCAGAATCAGAAGGGAAAGAAGGGAGAAAGGAGAAGGGAGAGGGAGGAAGGGAAAGGGGATAAGGAAAGAGAGAGGTAAGGAAGGGAGAGTTAGAGAGATTCCATGTGTTTGGAGAGGAGTTTAAGAGAGAGCTCTAGGGCTCTGCAGGCCTTCATGGAGATGCCCTCTCCCTGGACTTCCTCATAGACATGGTCTTGGAGATTTAGAAATTACTCTTCTCTCAAAAAGAAGTGTTGATGGCCAAATAGGAAGGAAAGTAAAACAGAGAAAACAGAAAATCTCTAACAGGCTGAAGGAAGTAGGCACAAAGAGGACAGGGAAAATGTTGATGAAGAAAGGCAGTGATGATGAGGACATGCAGTAGGAAGCCAAATGGTTGTGCTGAAGTTTGGAGTGGTGGAGAGAAGTGAGGAGCCAGAGAAGGCCAGTGCTCAGCCCACAGTATTGGAACGCAATGCACAAAGTAATCACTAAACAGGCTTTTACTCAAATGAAGAGAAGAAATAGCCATCTCATATCTTGGCATAGGACTTTTAGTTTGTAGAGTGGATTTTCAATCATGAAGTCATTGAATAACAAAACAACCTTAAGAGATAAGCAGCCAGATATAATCACTTTTTAGAGATGAGGTTTAGAGAGGTTCAGGGACTTAGCTAAAGGCACACAAATGGTACACCTCTCAAGGATCTTCTTTCTTTCTCTGATAGTGCTCTTAAAAGTTTTCAACAACTTTTTATTCTTACAGCATTTCAGCCTATTGTATTGCAATTTACTTGTTTAGTTATCAGTCTTCTTACTTAAACTTTGAGTTGCTTGAGAACATGGGTCTTACCTTGGTCATCTCTGTATCTTTAGCATTTATTTCATAGTGGGCTCTCAGTACATTTAATTAGTCTGGTAATTCATTCCATCACAATTGGCACTGTGCTATGTCTATTCCTAAGCAGGCTGAGTATGTACTCTGTCCAACAGAATGGATTTAATCCTCACTCTCCTGCTCTTTCTTTCTTCTGTGCTTTTTTAATGCACTCTCAGTTCTGTTCTGCTTGCTTACTTTCATTTCATCCCTTCCCTCCTGCATCTTACTAGCATTTTTTTTTCTGTGTAGGCTGAAAAAATGAAATGGTGATATAGGTCATTTCAGCCAAAATAAATTGTTTGGGTGAGGGGACTGATAACTAAACAAGTGATCTCCAATAAATGTCATAACTGTAATATACTTGGTACATTGTCTCTGTAGGCTCTCTAGTTTATAGTGTTTTAAGAAACTGCTTAAGAGGTAACTGTTTCATTTTCCACTCTGGGAGTGACATTTCTCTAATTTAGAGAGATACTTAAGTTTTCTTACTGTTTTGGAAAGTTGTACTTCTGTAATGATAAATTCTAAATGTCCACTCTGTGGGAGCAAATGAGTGATTATAATTATATCAACAGAAACAAGGATAAGTAGAAGAAATTATTATCTGTGTTGTGAAAGGCTAGTGCCTTCTTTGGATTTAGATCATGTCAATCATTTATGACATCAGCACAATTCCACCAATGGATTCAGAATGGAAAGGAAAATCTAAAAGTGCCATGAAAGGGCCACATGGACTTTGAAGTGGAAATAATGAAAACTCTTCGCAGGAAGAGTCTATGAAAGGAAATGCAGACATTGAAACCACAGGACCATTAATGAGAAAAATGAAATGAGAAAAATGAGAAATTTTTTCTCACATAAAAGAAAAATAAATGAGGAGACTTCTTGTCATATCGTTTCCCTGCTCAGAAACCTTCACTAAACTCCTGTTGTCTACAGATCACATCCAGATTTGTTAGCCTGGATTTTTAAGATCCTCTACAGTCTGAAGCCAATGTACCTTTCAGCTTTGTCTTTTCTTTACTTCATTCATGCCATACCACAGATATATGACTCTATTTGGAATTCTTTCTGTAAACTCTTTGCTTTCTTGCACACATCCTCTTTCCTATAATAATTCTATTGATAAAGCCCTTTACCCACCTTCACACATCCAAGCCCTATTCATCCTTAAAACCTATTTTCTGTGCCATCGCCTTCAAAAATTCTTCCCTATTTGACCCAGGTGAAAATGATTCTCATGTCTCTGAGTTCCAATAATTATCTGCCTTCCTTAAATTATGCATCTCTACTCTACTCTACTCTGTACTGCATATGTGGTTTCCCTCCAAAATTACACAGCTTGTGCAGGTAGGACTGATATCTAATTCATTTTTGCATTCAGTACTGGCCCTAATATAGCAGGTTACATATATCGATAGAAGGTGCTTAGTAAGTATTTGCTTAATAAAGGGAACAAAGATGCTGATCATTTTCTACTCTGAGAACTAAGCTCAACATCTGACAGTGAAGAGGCAGTAGCAAACAAAACATGGTAAGAACAAATACGCAGAAAAAGAGGGTCACCCATCCAGGGCCTGAAGCTCTAGAGGTCCAAAAGATGTTGGGAATCAATATTTATCGATCACCTTCTGTTTCAAGATCCAAGCTAGGTGCTCTATACTCATTAGTCCAGAACAACCCTTTTAATAGGTATTATTATGTACATGTTAAGGATGAGTTAACTAAGACTCAGAGACTAACTAAGGCTCAGAGAAGCTAAGTAACTCACCCATATGATAGATTCAGTAAGTGTTGAGATGGAAAGGGCTTTAAACTTAGATTTTCTGACCACAAAGCCCAGCCATGTGTGTTTCTGAACATCTTCACTACACTGCCTTCTTTCACAAAGCATGCATTCTGTGTCTGTGGTTGTGGGGCAGGGATTAGCGGGGAAGATCACTTTCTGCATTGCTGGACAAGGGTGGTTCATCTAAACAGTATTCACAGCACTCACCTGCAATGTGATTTAAAAACAAAACAGTGTAGCAAGTTGGAAATGGGTGCTTGTGGTGGTATTTGTGCAGTTTGTACTCACTGAATTGCATTTTTAGTTATATTTATTAATATATCTTCACCTATACCCTTGAGGGGCTATTTGATGCACCCTTAAAAGCCTTACAATGTGGGATTCAAGTTAACAAAGCTACAGATATGTCCAGTTAAAAGTAATGGAATCCCCTCATGTTTTCATAGCACTCTAGCACCTATAAACTAACATTATCTTCCTGTTTGCCCTCATTTGTCTTGGGGGTTCTGAATTTTCGGTTTATCTACCCATGGGTTCCAGTATCTTTAGAACTCCCATCATTTTAAAGAACAACATGGCAATTCAACTCACTGATTTCCTTCTGATGGATTCTTCATATTAAGAGTAGCAGAGGTGGGAACCGGAAATTTACTAATGTGCCTCCTTTAAGCAAGAATTGGCACCTGTGATTCAGTTTTTCACTCATTGCTGAGGACCTTGCACATAGTAAATGCTCAGTAAATAGTTACTGAATAAATAAATGAGTGACTAAAATGAGTAAAAATGTATTATGTCTACAATTTAAGTGATGCTAGTAGGGAAGTCTATATGCCAATATAACCCCTGATTGCAGGGTTTTTATATCTTTCTTAGCCTGACTGTTTTGGGAATCTAAGGTACATTGGCCTGAGGGTCAGTGGCACACAGTGCACATTTAGGATGGTGGGGCAAGGGGAAGGACACTCACTCCCACATAACTGTGGCTATCCATGCCAGTGCTTGGGTCCAGAGCCCAACTTCACAGACCAAAGAGAATCAGCTCCCTGAGTAAGAGTTGATGGTGATGGTGATGATGAGTCAACATTTCTCTAATTCCAGAGTTAAAAATACTCTTCATCTTAGCCTACTTATTTCTCATGACTAC